CTAAAGCTTCAGGGAGAGTTGTATGTACATGTCAAAACCACCGATGTCTTTAGAGGAATTCACTCGGAGGTAGTTTACACAAACTGTGGTTTAGTTACTGAATAGGCCCGCTAGTTCCATTGCATTGCCCAATATCATCTGTATTATAAACTATGACGAAACTGTATCAGGTCTCATGCACTACATAAATTGTGAGAAGGACAAAAGGGCGGCATTTCTACAACAGACCGTTCAGCAGGCTTCACGAGCGGCCCGTGGGGCCCGGTTACAGCCAAACAAAAGAGCGGGAGCGGTGTCAGATCCCTCTCACAGGCACGGCTGAAACGTTATCCCCGCGCCACTGGCCATGACCTCATCGTGTTGTTTTTCCCGCAAACGCTCGGCCCGCTGTGGCGCACGCAACTCAAGCCGGGCACAAGCTACAGGACTCTGCTGCTTCAAGCAATATCTAATGCCAAGCAATGTCAAATACAAATACGTTTATGTTTGTTTACACTGTCATCTGTTCTGTGAACGTAATCAAAATATTGAATTATTTATCAGTTGATAAAATCAGTCTGTTAGGTTAAATGTCTCAGTCATTTGCATAGTTAATTAATCATTACATCTCATGTTCTGTTGAGATTGACTTTATTGTCTTTATGGGGTCCAATCGACCTCACTGATATATGGGTTAAATGAATAAGCCAAGCAATGTCAAATACAAATACGTTTATGTTTGTTTACACTGTCATCTGTTCTGTGAACGTAATCAAAATATTGAATTATTTATCAGTTGATAAAATCAGTCTGTTAGGTTAAATGTCTCAGTCATTTGCATAGTTAATTAATCATTACATCTCATGTTCTGTTGAGATTTACTTTATTGTCTTTATGGGGTCCAATCGACCTCACTGATATATGGGTTAAATGAATAGGCTAAAAGCAATTCAAAATTTTACATTTAAAGTTTTGTTTCTAATCAAAAAGATTATGAAAAGACACGAATATCTGACCATAATCGGACCATAATCTGTTTGGGAGCAGTACGTTTTTAAATGTTTTTGAAAGGAGTCTCTTATGTTCATCAAGGCTGCATTTATTTGATCAAAATACAGTAAAACGGTAACAAATTTGTGAAATATTATCGCAATTTCAAATAACTGTTTTCTATTTTAATATATTCTAAAAAGTCAGTTATTCCTGTGATGTAAATCACGAGATTTTCCAGAAATCATTCTAATATGAAACATTCTTGAAGAAGTTCAAAAGTGAAATCTTTGTAACATTCCAAATGTTTTACTGCCACTAATTTAATCTTTGCTGCATAAAAGTATTATTTTCTTACAGAAAAAAGCATCAACATATTTTCAACATAAGTCTATTTATTATTCTAATTTATATTTGCCTTAAATGGCCTTGGCCAAGCAGAACATGAGGGTTAATACTGTACATATGACCCATACAGTCTTTGCCTTGCATGTCGTCAATGAACTTAAGTACACTAATGTGGAACAATGAATAGTCAAGCAAGTCACCTAATCTCCATGTACTGGAGAGTTTAGGTTATCTAGACGCCTCAGAAGAGTGTGTTACAGCTGATGCAATCAGGAGTAATGCAGCACAAACAACATCCATTCTTCACTGCCAATCATAAATCCAACACATCTGAAATATGAGATCTGCCGTATGTTTTGATTCTGTGCATCCTACATTCAGCTGAGCTCTCCTCCCAGTGAGTTCCTATTCAGGCTTTGCTCAGACGTCCTCAGAGGACATACAGACAGTATATGCACAGAGACTAAAACTAGCACTCAGAATCACTCTACTCAACATTACAAAAGTACAAAACAAGAAATTAAGTACCGTTCAAATGTTTGGCATCAGTAAGGTCAGTATGAAAGAAAGTAAATTGATCAAGACTTTTACATTGTTATAAAGACATTTTTATTTTAAATAAATGTTATTCTTTTGAACTTTCTATCCATCAAAGAATACTGAAAGACAAGTAGAGTCACTGTTTCCATGAAATTAGTAAGAAGCATAACTGTTTTCAATATTGATAATAATCAGAAATGTTTCTTGAGCAGCAAATCAGCATATTAGAATGATTTCTGAAGGATCGTGAAGACTGGAGTAATGATGCTGAAAATTCAGCTTTGCATTACAGAAATAAATGACATTTTAAACTGTATTCACATAGAAAACAGTCATTTCAAATTTTACAAATATTTCACATTATTACTGTATTTTTTGGTGAACATCTTTCAAAAGAAGAGAAACTTCTTTCAAAAACATTACACAATCTTTCAAACAATTGTGCACAATGGCTAAAAAAAATTACTGCTGAAAATTGATAAACAGAATCTTTATGCGCACTTTGTGGTTGTCAAATATGAAACATCGCTAGTTATAGTGTAATTCTCTACACCTGCGGTTACTCTGCCAGAACACCTGTGTGAACTGACCTCATACATCCACCAAAAATAAAAAAAAAACTAAATGTTCTGAGAAAGCCTGCAGCATTTCCTTGCAGGTGCCACTTGCTTTGCCATTTAGTTATTTAGTGCAATGACATTCAGCCATTTTTAAACACTCCTTAATACTTTTGTGGACCCTTATAAGGCTGCATCACCTATAAAATTTCATGAATGTTCGTGAAGTAAATAGCCTAGATCGGGTAAGTATTATTAATTTTGTAGGATAGAACTATTTTCCTGCTCATCTGAACACTCGCAAATGTTGCAAGACAGAACCAATCAATCACGGAGAGCATTCACTCACTTCTGACAGCGCATTCAAACAGGGCTGCGTTTCCCAAAAGTATCATAAGAAAGCATTAAAGCTTTTGGGAACGGCAGCCCTGAACAGTGCTTATCAGAGGACAGAGTTATTTCACAATAAACAAACTGAAATTGTAGCCTTCATAGTTTGTGCAATTACAGTTATTTAAATTGAACGTTGAAAGATAATACTGATCATGTTCTATTCTGTAATGTTAGTAGAAATCATACACTGTCAGAATAAAAAGGTTGCATTTTATGCATGCAACAGCCGGTCATTGGCAGTCCCTAATGGCAGTACAAAATATTGCACTAAATCAAAAGAAATTAAAAGACCATAAAAAACAATCTGTCACACACTTTTCCAAAAAAATTAAAAAATTAAAAATTAAATAAATATTTCAAAGGGTTACTAATGACCAGTGCTGTGTTCAAAATATCGATAGGACGATGTATCGTCACAGAGATTTGACGATACGAGTATCGATACAGCTGGCCCTGTATCGATACTGTGGCACGTGTGCAGCAGTGGACCACGCTTAATTTTACAACGTTTAAAATTTAGTAGAAAAGTGCGAGGTTTCTAAAAAAGAATGAATAGAGCATCTGTTAATAATCTGGCCGCAGAGGAACACAACGGGGTTTCCTGTTATAAAGAGACTTAATCCCCAAAACAGAGCTTTACACTTGCGCAATACAGAAATATCTGCTAAACATGCTACTTATCTTTATCAACCTGGCAACCATGTGCACACGCGCACTCTCTCCACTGTGGATAAACGCGCTTGTTTCTGAAAACACCGCTTAACTTGCAGTTTAGCTATCTCCACTTCAAGTCTATTCTCAGAAAAGTGTGATTCATCAACTGTTCATTTACGACACCAAGAGAGAGGCTGTGTATGTATGAATTAACACCGTTTTGCCGTGTTTCTCTATTAACAGTAAAGCTGTGGCTTTAATTCCTTTAGAAACAATGATGTTACCAGCTCCTTGTTGAGAAAGATAATGTAGCTCTTGAGCGATTAAGCTATTTAGTTGATAAAATTGCGGGGCAGTGCTAAAAAGTTCGTTCCTGAATGTCTGAGTGCGGCCGCAACGTGATCTGTGTGAGTGACTGCACTTAACATCAAACTGCTTCTGTTTCACACAAATGCCTGGCTCAGACGTGCATGTTCGGCTAGAGTCGCTCTGAACTCGTGCATCTTCGGAAGCGGAGCTGCGCGGAAAGTTACAAAAAATGTTGTGCACACCACCACGCAAAACGACGTCGCGCGCACTCAAAGCGAACTTGCTGACGCGTCGAGTATAAATCAGCCTTGAGCGTGTGAGCGTGCTGAACTCGTGCATCTTCGGAAGCGGAGCTGCGCGGAAAGTTACAAAAAATGTTGTGCACACCGCCACGCGAAACGACGTCGCGCGCACTCAAAGCGAACTTGCTGACGCGTCGAGTATAAATCAGCCTTGAGAGTGTGTGCGTGTTAGATACAGTGAAGACAGCGCGTTAGTTTAGAACTCTTCAAAAAGGTGAAATTCAGTGCAGTCATGTATCGTGATACGTATCGTATCGTGGCCTCTATATCGTGATATGTATCGTATCGTGACTTTGCTGGCGATACACAGTCCTACTAATGGCGCATCATTTGGATATTTTCATGTCTGGGAAAATTTGGGATTAAACAGGTTAAAATGCGTTTTAAACAAAGTTAAGTGGTTTTCATTATCCATTTTACTCTTAGTAATTTAATAATTTAATACATTTCATAATTTTAAAGTTTAGTGCAGAAGTATCGAATCGGTATCGATATCGACGATACTGTCTTGAAAAATATCGGTATCGATATCGACGATACTGTCTTGAAAAATATCGGTATCGATATCGACGATACTGTCTTGAAAAATATCGGTATCGATATCGACGATACTGTCTTGAAAAATATCGGTATCGATATCGACGATACTGTCTTGAAAAATATCGGTATCGATATCGACGATACTGCCTTGAAAAATATCGATATCGCTATTGACGATACTGTCGCCTTGAAAAATATCGGTATCGCTATTGACGATACTGTCGCCTTGAAAAATATCGGTATCGATATCGACGATACTGTCTTGAAAAATATCGGTATCATATCGAAAACAAAATAAGGGGTATTGCCCATCCCTAGTAAGTATGGCAAAGGGTGTCATCTTCTCCAATCATACAGTTCAAGCTCCTCTGAAATGAAGGTAACATACCTGCTGCCACTCCCCAGCAGTGAGTGTCTCTCTGATCTGACTCGACGATCAGTTCCAATGCACAACTTCCATCTGCGGAACGAGAAGAAGTGGAGATGTTTGAGGAGAAAGCGCTCGTTTCCTGCCACAAACATTTATGGCATAGTTTCTGTCAAATAAAAGTTTAGTTATGCATTGCAAACACACACTAGTTAGCTTACTACACAACGACACGGCAGGGATTTAGTAGCCTATAGGGATGGGCGTATTGATCCAAAGTATCGATATATCGATACTGACGCGAGTATTGAAAGTATCGATATTCAAACAAAAAATATCGATACTAAGGTGTGTTTTATTTACCAGAGATTTTGTTAATTTAACAAACAAAAAAATAATAATAATGCGTACAATATGCATTTAATGGGACGAATAACCTTCGTTAGCGAGTAATTTTGTAGGATAGAACTATTTTCCTGCTCATCTGAACACTCGCAAATGTTGCATGACAGAACCAATCAATCACGGAGAGCGTTCACTCACTTCTGACAGCGCATTCAAACAGGGCTGCGTTTCCCAAAAGTATCATAAGAAAGCATTAAAGCTTTTGGGAACGGCAGCCCTGAACAGTGCTTATCAGAGGACAGAGTTATTTCACAATAAACAAACTGAAATTGTAGCCTACCTCGTTTGTGCAATTACAGTTATTTAAATTGAACG